AAAGATATATTACAATGACTGACTGCTTAATTTAAATGTAAAATATATATTATACATCAAAATAAACTCTCTGAGAAGAAGTATCTCAGATTTGTGCTATTCTTATTTTGTGTGTTATACGATCGCCTTTTCCATGTTGTACGATCACTTTATCAAAAGATACATGTCGTTGACGATCGCCTCTCGGTTGTCAAATTTTCCAATTAAAATTTGTTTTGAGGATTATGTATGTAGTTTTAATTCTAAAAATATTTAGATCATACTTCCAGGAACCGTTACATAACAAAAGCAGGAAACATTCTTAGATAATAACAACAATTATTTAAGAAATAAATAACAAGTTTATAAACTTCAATGGGAATTGAAGTGGGTCGGTCACGTGATCAAATCCTGTGAAGGCCGAAGGCCTTCTCAGAAGATTTGATCACGTACCGACCCACTTCAATTCCCATTGAAGTTTATAAACTTGTTATTTATTACTTATATATACATTTGAGACTGACAATTGAATATTTTCGAATTTAAATTATTGCAATAACCGTCCGTTGTAGATTTTGAAAAATGACGCAAGATGTAAATCGGCTTGCATGGCGGTTACGCTTCGAATTCATTAGGCTAAGGAATCTATTTCGAAGGGAATATTTTGTGATAGGCTACTTGTGATCAGTAATAGTGAACAGATTGTTGTCTGGGAATATTTTATTCGTGAAAAATGATAATCGATGCTGAAAAGACACAAGAAACACGTCCGAAGTTTGATGAAAAAAGTTGGAGGAATTTCGGTCGCTGGAAAGGGATGGATGGATCCGATGGATTGAGACACTTGTCCGAGCCAGTTAATTTGCAAATTGATCAAAAACATTCCACGGTTTCAGTAACTAAAGGCATACTTATCGTAAAACACTGATAAACACGGAGACACTGGCGACAGCTTTACATTGAACTACGAAAACGCCGAGGTGTTTGGCAGCTGTTCATGGCATGATTGCAAAGATATTTTCCAACAGATTTACACATTTATCGTGAGTAAAATTTAAAGATAAAATAAAAGTTTATCCTGAAAATTTAACCAAAGGTCTATCCAAAAAATAAGGATGAACATTAGAGACTGTGCAGCTGACAAAAGTGAAGAAAAATGTACACAGGTTGAATCGATAGCCCCAAAACTGTATGAAATACTTATTTACATTTAAAATAAAATAGCTATCATTTTACTTGCTTATTTTATTCATTTTTATACATGAAAAGCAAGTAGAGCAGGTCATTTTATAATTTATGTACCGGTAGATATTATTGCGCCGTGTGATTACCGTATTTGGCCGAGTATAATACGCATTGATGTAAAATACGCACCCCCCTTTTTGAGCCTGAAACTGAGGAAAAAAACGCAGTTCGGATGTATTATACGCAGCAGAAAATTTTATCAATCGGCGTTATGAACTTTGAAAATCGCGGTAATTTACTACGAAAATCGGCGCGGAAAAAAAGTGCCGAAAATTTGCAGAACGCAATATTTTTTTTTTCAATGCGTATTTTTTTTTCTTAATCCATACTTTCCATATTCCAGCAAGCCAGAAAAATAATTTATTTCAACAAAGCATGAGAAAATGTTGCGTAAAAAAGTATTAACAGAGTTTGTTGTTTTATATTTCATACGATGGTATTGAAATTATACGTCGCCATATTCTTTGGCAAAATTATTTTAATTCAAAAAAGCACGAGATATTGTTGCAAGTTTTACAAGTTGTTATAATTATTTTAGTTTGTAGGTAATCATGGTGAAAATTATGTTAATTGAACAGCGTGCCCGATATGGCAACATCAAAGTAGTAATAGACTACGATTTTCCTCGTTTGAACTTGAAATTAATTAAATAAATAGCTGTTGTTATGAAAATAAAACCTAATTTAACAAGCGTATAAGGTGTAGTTATCAACACACTTCCAAAGCTGTGAAAAACGATGTACAAAGCTGGGATATCGATCCCTCATTAATTAGAAAAATGATACCGATAAAAGCCATTTAATTACTGCAGTAAATAAATTACTGTCTGTAAAAACAATTCTTTGGTAGGGAAATAAAAAATTGAATCATTGCCCTAAGAATTTCCACTGCATAAAGATGGGTAAAGTACGACAGTCGTTTACTGCGAAGGAAAAGTTAAAAGTTATCGCGTACGCCGAGGCCCATGGAAACCGTGCAGCAGGCAGAGAGTTTTCCATCAACGAGGCAAACGTGCGACTCTGGCGACGACAGAAGGACAGACTGCATCAGCTACCGAAGTCCAAGATGGCAGACAGAGGCCGCACAGCGTTTTTCCCTACCGTAGAGACTGAACTACTCACGTGGGTTACTGATCGCAGACAACAGGGGTATGGTGTGTCGACAGCCGAACTTCGCCTACAAGCACTCAAGATCGCCAAGAAAGATCCGAAAGCTCAAGACTTCAAAGCATCGGTGGATTGGTGCTATGCGTTTCTCAAGAGACATAAGTTATCCATAAGACGGAGGACACACATTTCCCAGAGACTGCCTGACGATTATGAAGACAAGCTGTCCAGCTTCCAGAGCTTCATGATCAAGATGAGGAAGAAACATCAATACCGCATGTCCCAGATCGGCAACGCTGACCAAACACCATTGACCTTTGATCTTCCTGCCGACACCACCATCCATCCTAAAGGCGCATCAACCGTGTCCATCAAGACAACCGGCAACGAGAAGAACAGATTCACCGTCATGTTAGCTTGCACTGCCGACGGAGGAAAGCTGCCGCCCTATGTAGTGTTTAAAAGAAAAACTATGCCTAAACTGCAGTTTCCCAAGGGAATTATTGTGAATGTGCATCCAAACGGCTGGTTCGACGATGACATTACCAAGGACTGGATCGAGAGAGTGTGGGGTCGACGACCAGGTGCTTGTGTTAACCGTAGTGTCTTAGTGTTGGACGCTTTCCGGTGCCATCGCTCCCCAGCAGTGAAGACTGTGTTGAGAGATTCACATCAGACGGACCTTGCGATCATACCTGGAGGTATGACGAGTGTGTTACAACCACTGGACGTTAGTGTAAATAAACCCATGAAAGTTGCTTTGCGACATAAGTGGAATTCGTGGATGTGCAGCGACGAACACACGTACACCAACCAGGGGCGCATGCGAAAACCCGAGCTGAACACCATCTGTGCATGGATCAAAGAAGCGTGGGATGAACTCGATCCACAGATCATCGTCCGTTCCTTTAAGAAGTGCTGCATATCCAACGCCTTAGATGGATCCGAGGACGATATTCTTTGGGAAGATGTTCCATGCAGATCAGCTGATGAGTGTGATGTAGAGGATGCCGACCGCAACGACATCGTGTACGACGACGATAGTGATGATGACACCCCCCTTTCCGTACTCAGAGACATTTACAAGATATTCGAGAGTGACGACGAGGACGAGGAATTTGAGGGATTCTAAGTGACTGTGACTTGTGGTGAACATTGATCAGTGCTTTTAAACGGTGCTTAAATTAGTATGTGTTGAAAGTTCGAAGAACTGTAGTTATTTTTTAATTTGATTGTTTAACTTGCATGTTGTTGTACAGTCATGTCTTTATGTCAAAAATATTTGAAAGTGAAGTGAAAGACGAAATTTTATGTGTGAACATAGAAACATCTATGTATATTAATGCTTTCAAAAAAAACTCTATTATTTATAAATTATTATCAGTGCGTGTGAAAATAATTTTTAATAATTTTATTACAATGTCTTTGTGTCCCACATACATTTATATATATATTCATGTCTCTGATGCTCGTTATGATTTGTTTTAACTTAATAAAATAATTGAAAAAAAACTTTTGATTTCTTTACAAGCTGTTTACGCCCTAGGGGATGTCATAATCATCGAGGTCAAAGCACAGGTGTCTACAACAATGAACTTTAATTGTTACGTAAACATGGAAAGCTAGAGGTGGAGCAAGCTAGATAAAAGTGTAAATTCAGGTGAAATGAATCTCCAAAGATTTATTAAAATAAATTGGTAATGTATTTTATTACAAGCGATTATATATTATTCTATCCATTGAAATTAATGATTGATTAGGTTGATTACGAAAATGTGGCTAAGGCCCGGATCATGTACACTTCTATTAAAAACAGCTGTAATGGCGGCATAATGGCGGCAGACACGGAGAGATGATGAATAGACAGCTCAAATACATTTTAACTGGTTATTTTAAAATAATTTATCTATAAATACTTTAGATATGCATCAATTTCTACAATCATACGACCCAACAATAATTTCCTAAGGGTTAAATATAACGGTAAGCAGCAATAAAGCGATCTATATATAGGCTATGTCTGTGGTTCATACTAATCCTGCAGTTTCACCTGGACGAAAAAAACCTGGTCAAATCCCATTGTGATGTATAATACGCATACCTTTCTCACAGAAATTTATTTTAGAAAAAAAGTGCGTATTATACTCCCCGAATTACGGTAGGTCATGTAGCATTTCTGACATCTGACAAACTTCATACAGAATTGAAGATATTTTCTCTCTGTATGTTTATATAATGGAGAGATACCACAAATGTATATATAAACTATTTCAAAGCATGGAAATTTGATGTTTTGAACATTGTCGATTTGATCAAAAACATTTGCACAGAAACTGTTTGGCAAATTTACTTTCAGTGAATCCTAAATTGTAGATAATTATCTAAATTAAAAGTTCTCTAATTTAATTTACAGCTGGTTACACTCAAGCACACACAATACTGTTATAATTTACCACCTACGACACTTTCTTCTTCAATGTTTTGATCTGTGTTGCCGATCGCATCAGCGTTGCCAATCGCGCGTTGACAGGGGTGGTTATGAAAATTGAATAATGGCTAGGAGAAGGAAGTAGCATTTTGAAAACTGTTCACAGTCAGAAAGACAACAAGTTATTTTTTTCACAACATAAGCACTTTTAATCAAGTGAAAAGCAATTATTTATACCATACCAATTCTTGTAAATCCCTTTTCAGTGTTGTAACAAGTTGGCAATGCTGCATTGGAAGATATCCATATTTTTCATATTCCTACAGACACAACCAAAATATATGATGTATACTGGTATCACAGGCACCCTACTTCATTTTATTTCAAGAGGCCCATGGGCCACATCACTCAACTGAGCACTGTGGCTAGAAAAAAAGCAGAAATCAATTCAGTATTGACAAGTTTAAAATCCATAGGTGGTACCAATCTACCATTAAAAAGGAGGGACTACAATTTGAGCAAACTTAAATATTTTAATTTACACTAACTTGATAATGCCTGCATATTTCTGTGCCTAATTATGGCTTTTTTACCCTTTACATTTGAACTTACACTGTGCCCCCTCCCCCCAGGCATCATGGATAGAGCAAAAACAAATCTACACTACCTGAGGATGCTTCTAGATAAAAATGATTAATCATGGCTTTGCTGTGTTTGTGAAGAAGATTTTTACTGATTTTTCTTGTATACACATGTATTACTATGTCAAAATTTGCTTATCAATTGTGCATGGCCCCACCCTACACCCAGGGGTCATGAATTGAACAAACTGGAATATACATTTCTATGTAAAACTTTGTCTGTTGTGGCCCCACTCAACTCCTGTGGGTCTTGATTTGAACAAAATTGAAACTACCCGAGAATGTATCCCCATAATTTTCATCTTTCCTGGCACAGAAGTTCTATTATCATGTCGGGCAACATATTGCTATTGTAAGCATGAAAAATTTGTTCACGCTGTTTCTCAGAGATGGCTGGGACAATCTTCCTGAAACTTTCCTCAAAAGATGATCAGTGAGGATGTTCAGCTTCAAAATGGCTACTGTTACCATGGATATGTGCAAATAGTGACGGATTTTGTCTGGGAGTGTTCTCTCTGGTCTTTTGAAAATTCATCATGAAACTTTGTTATATTAATGATTAGTTATTAAAGTTGTGCGATTGGCATTTAAAAATTTCAAATAATCGATTGTTGCCATGCAAACAGGGGAAAAGTGAAAATTCTTTAACTTTGATTTTCTCAGTAACTGCTCAAACAATCATTTTGAAACTTCGAAGGATAATTCTTTGCAATGTGTCAGTGTGATTTCTATTAAAACAAGAGGCCCATGGGCCACATTGCTCACCTGAGCACTGTGGCTAGGAAAAAGCAGAATTGGTTTATACTTGAAAAGCTTAAATCCAAAAGTAGTCCAAAGACCAATCATGGCTTTGCTATTCTTGAGAAGAAGATTTTTAAAGAATTTTCCTATATATTTCTATGTAAAACTTTGGTTGGCCATTTTGGCCCCGCCCTACCCCCGGGGGTCATGATTTGAACAAACTTGAATCTACACTACCTGAGGATGTTTCTCCATAAGTTTCATCTTTCCTGGCATAGTGGTTCTTGAGAAGAAGATTTTTAAAATATGCAACCAAATTTTCATTAATTCCCAATTATCTCCCCTTGAAAATGAGGGCGTGGCCCTTCATTTGAACAAACCTGAATCCCCTTCACCCAAGGATACTTTGTGGCAAGTTTGGTTGAAATTGGCCCAGCGGTTCTTAAGAAGAAGTCGAAAATGTGAAAAGTTTTCAGACAGACAGACAGCTAGACGGACAGACGGACGGACGGACGACGGACAAAATGTGATCAGAAAAGCTCACTTGAGCCTTCGGCTCAGGTGAGCTAAAAAGTGTGGTCAAAGGTCAAAGGAAAGGTCAAGGTCGAAATATGTTGATGCAGTTGCATAGCTCTCATCAATATCTATCAGCATATGAAGTTTGATGAAAATACCTTGGATAGTGTCTTTGAAACTGAGCTTTGAACAGAGCTAAATGCAAAGTGTGACAGAAGAACAGAAGGACGGAAGGACAGTAGGATGGAAAGACGGAAGGACAGAAAGAAGGAAGACGGACATGACAAACACTATATGCCCTGGCCATATTCATGGCGGGGCATAAAATTGGCAACATATTTGGGTTATTTGTACTATTACTTCAAGTTCTTGGTGGGGTATTATGATACATGTATTTGATCATACCTGGGATGTTAAACACTCTTTTATCAGGTCTGGACGATTTTCAAATGGAGAGCGATAACCGTGAATTGCTATAAATACGCAGAATAAGCAAGGTGCTAGTCCTTCTGACCAATCAGATAACAGCATTTAGACAAACCCGTGTGAAAATAAATAAAAATGGTTTTAAAGTTTTTTGCTCAAAAGATTTTTTAGAACAAACTTTTTGTCAACTTTATTCACATATAGGAATAATATAATATCTATGACAATTCTACCGTGAACAAACACTACTTGAAAGCTTAGAATACATTTAAGTGGGATTAAAAATCTTCACGAGGAGGTAGGAATCCAAAAAGTTTTACTTGCTTTAACAAGAGGCCCATGGGCCACATCGCTCACCTGAGAAGCTTTGACCATTCTGTTCTTTACCAGATTTCCCCCTTGTAATACATAATGCATCCCCACCCTACCCCACTGATCATAATTCAGACATTTTGAAATCTACACTACCCTAGCATGTGCACATAAGTTTCAGCTTTTCTGGCCCAGTGGTTCTTGAGAAGAAGATTTTCAAAGATTTTTCCTATATTTTTCCTATATACAGCTTACTCCACTTATATTGAACTCGCTTATTTTGAAATTCTGCTATTTTGAAATAGAAATAAATCCCCAGTTTTTGCCTCTCATATTCTTTGCATTAAAATAACGGCTATATTGAAATCGGATATATTGAAATTTCGCTTATATTGAAGCCACTGATTTGTCCCCACAGGTGATAATGAGTTGTTTTCATAACGGTTATATTGAAGTACTCCCTAGCGGCTGTCATTATGGTTGGTGACAGTAATTATGCCTGACTGACCAGTTGATATACAAAGGTGTGAATAATTAAGTTTTCATCTTATGTGTTTTTATACTGCATGCTCTTACGAAATAAAATTCTTCACTGTTAAATTCTTTGCATCCCCGTATATGATACAGACATATCGAGACTAAACATCTAAACGTACATGTAATATAGTAACCCCCACAGATCTAGGGAAAAAAACTTTGAAATTAAATACGTACTGTTAATGGCTATTGATATGCCTAAATTTGAAATAACTAAGGGATTGATTAACCTGAGTACACTTACGATGAAATACAAACAGCGTTCAGCAGTACTCAACCATTTAAGGCCGGTGATTTTTTTCCAAAACGTAAATAAATGCGATCGGGGAATAATAACGGGGTTGAAGTTTGTCTTTTCAATAAAACAGAAATAAAAAAAAATTAAACTTTCAAGGACTCATATTCTATGTAATCTGCTCACTGTTGTAGACAAATGATGACAAATCAATTTGTTCGGGTTTGTTCTTCTTTATTTTAGATCGGAATTGAACTTGTAAAAATGGCCGCTTCACGATTTCACTTATATTGAATTACGGATATATTGAAATGAATTGCATGGTCCCCTGAATTTCAATATATCCGGAGTAGGCTGTATTTCTATGTAAAACTTTGATTCCCCATTGTGGCCCCGCCCTTTCCCTGGGGGGTCATGATTTTTACAATTTAGAATCTACACTACCCCAGGATGCTTCCACATATGTTTCAGCTTTTCTTGCCCAGTGGTTCTTGAGAAGATTTTCAAATATTTTTCCTATATATTTGTATGTAAAACTTTGATTCCCCACTGTGGCCCCGCCCTTCTCCCGGGGGTCATGATTTGAACAAATTAGAACCTACACTACCCCAGGATGCTTCCATATAAGTTTCAGCTTTTCTGGCCCAGTGGTTCTTGAGAAGAAGATTTTCAAAGATTTTTCCTACATATTTCTATGTAAAACTTTGATTCCCCATTGTGGCCACGCCCTTCTCCCGGGGGTCATGATTTAAACAATTTAGAATCTACACTACCCCAGGATGCTTCCATATAAGTTTCAGCTTTTCTGGCCCAGTGGTTCTTGAGAAGATTTTCAAAGATTTTTCCTATATATTTCTGTGTTAAACTTTGATTCCCAATTGTGGCCCCACCCTTTCCCCGGGGGTCATGATTTTTACAATTTAAAATCTTCACTACCCCAGGATGCTTCCACATAAGTTTCAGATTTTCTGGCCCAGTGGTTCTTGAGAAGAAGATTTCCAAAGATTTTTCCTATATATTTTTATGTAAAACTTTGATTCCCAATTGTGGCCCAGCCCTTCCCCAGGGGGTCATGACTTTTAAAATTTAAAATCTACACTACCCCAGGATGCTTTGACATAAGTTTCAGCTTTTCTGGCCCAGTGGTTCTTGAGAAGAAGATTTTTTAATGACCCCACCCTATTTTTGTCTTTTCTTGATTATCTCCCCTTGTCAGTGGACTTGGCCCTCTATTTTAAAAATTTAAAATCCCCATCACCCAAGGATGCTTTGTACCAAGTTTGGTCAAAATTGGCCCAGTGGTTCTCGAGAAGAAGTCGAAAATGTGAAAAGTTTACAGACGGACAGACAGACGGACGGACGACAGACAAACGATGATCAGAAAAGCTCACTTGAGCCTTCAGCTCAGGTGAGCTAAAAATTAATGTATTTTCACTCTATAATCAATAGAGCCCCACCTAACACCACAACCCCTGACCCTGGGGCCATAAAAATTCACAATTTTGGAAGAGGCATTCTTGCTCATCATAACTATATACTTAGTTAGTTTGTTGAATACCTAGGAGCAGAGAAGAAGATTTTCAAACAATTTCTGCATTTTCTCTATATAATCAATAGAGCCCAGCCCTAACACAAGAACCCCTGACCCTGGGGCCACAAAATTCTCAATTTTGGAAGAAGCATTCTTGCTCATCATAACTATATACTTAGTTAGTTTGTTGAATACCTAGGAGCAGAGAAGAAGATTTTCAAACAATTTCTGCATTTTCTCTATATAATCAATAGAGCCCCGCCCTAACAATAGAACCCCTGACCCTGGGGCCATAAAATTCACAATTTTGCAAAAGCATTCTTCCTTATCATAAATATGTACTTGGTTAGTTTAATTTTAATATAAAGGAGCAGAGAAGAA